AAATTTTTTTAAAGGTGGATCTGCTACAGAAATTATATTCCCTCTCACTTAATTTTATATAATTAAATTAATTGCAAGTACCAATAATTACTTGGTGGAGGTTGGCTAGGAGGAGATGGACGTTTAGTAGCTTCTAGTTTTTTTCCTTCCGTTGTATCTGATACAGAAACAACTGATTCCTCTTGCTCTTTTTGTTGATGTCCTGGAATTATTTATAAAATATTTTTAATCTTTTGGTATCCAAGTACTATCTGGAATTTTACTAGCAGGTACTGACATTAAAAATTAAGCCAACATCCCAAAAAATAACAAAAAATTAGAAAATTGGATTAACTTTATTCCTTATAATAGTACTCCCGGTAGTACTATTTTTCATCCCTACCCAAAGGGGAGTATTATTCGAGGACGAGTTCAAGGTTGAGTGAAATTTTTGGAAATACGGTATATATATTTTAATTTTTTACTTGGTCCCTTGAGAAGATGGATCGGTGTTTTCGATCCAGAAACAACTGACTTTCCTGTAGATTTTTGAATTTCTTGTAGTTCTGTAATTATTTTAAAAAAATTTTTTATTGTTTAACTTAAAAAACTTTGTGGAATTTCAGCAGGAACTTCTGCTGGTTTGCTTTTTAAATGTTGAACTAAAATAAAAATTTAGTTAATGGAAATAAAGAATTAAAAATAGAAGTTGGGATTTTTATTTAAACGATTGATTAATTTTTGATTAATTATTTAATTTTTGCCAGCTTTTTTTATCTTTAAGTAAGGTTGTCGTATAGTTGGAAATCTTCGGATATCCGGATCCGGTATCCGAACCGAAAATTTCACATATCCGGCCTTTTATGGATCCGGATCCGACAACCTTATCTTTAGTGGTCGATAGTGTATATAGCAGCTGGAAAATCAAAGTTCCGACTTGCCACTTTTAAAAAAGTACTTTAAATTACAAATTATTTCGCAAGTTTTCGAGGGAAATTTAATAAATTGCACTTTAAAATTACATAATTTATTAAAAGGATGAGGATATAATTGGGAAATAACACATAATACATTAAATATTACATATTTGTCTACTTGTCCCTGAGTCTCCGACATTTTTGTTTAGAGAAGTATGGGGATTGACTGGTTGGAATTTTGAAGTTGTCGGAGATTTAGTTCCAATCTTTGGCTGCCATTCGTTTTTAGATTGAGAAGATGGATGTTCTATCCATTTCTGTTGAAACTGAGGAAAAAATTTTAAAATTATTACATCTACACGAAAAACTGCGTTTGAGTGACAACGAATTATATGCATGGCTCGAAGAACTTGGAGTTCATGGAAAACGACCCTGTAATAATTGCAGGGACCGAACATCAGTTTACGTAAATCAAGGTTTTAGATATGTAGTAGGGAGATTCCCAACAAGAGAGATTGTCACATAAACTACTATTACCCCTCTCCCTTGTTGAACATATTTGCCGGATTGTGAAGTATTCAATGGAGGTGCTTGACGTTGAGTTGCTCGAGCCTCTTGTTGAACTCGAGGATCTATTCGACCATGTTGTGGATAAGCTGATTTGTTGGATTGTGAAGTATTTAATGGAGGTGTTTGACGTTGAGCTGCTGGAGCTGTTCTACCTGATTTGTAAATTAAATTGATATAAAATAAAAACAATAATTTACTTGAAGGTTGTTTAAATTGAAGACTTGTCATTTTGTTTGATTGAACAGTTCCAGGAATTTTAGATGATGGTTTAGGTGGCTTCTGAGATAGTAATGCAGAAGCATATGTTTTGGGGGCTCCTCCCGAAGCCTGTGCTGTAGAAGCCATCTTGCTTGACATGCCAGTTTCAGACCTAATAGGTGCTTTTGAAGCTTCATCTAATACTGCAACATGTGTTTTGGGTGGTATTAACCCTTCTTTCTCCTTCACATTACCTTCTTCAACAAACTTCACCTCTTTTTCCTTCTGCTTTTCATCCCCAATTTTTTTATCCCCAATTTTCTTCGCTTTTTCCTTCTCACCCCCTCCTCCTTTGGCATAATTTAAAATTAATAAAAATAAAACAAAAATCCAAAAGAATTTTTGAAACAGCATCTCAATCAAAAACAAAAAATGTTTTTGAGAAAGTTTTTCTTAATTTATTTAAATTTTATTTATGTATTTTATAAAAAAATTTAAATTATAAAAATATTAAGAGAAGATTTAAAATTAAGAGATGCCTTTAAAATTAAAATAAAATTTAAAATTAAGAGTGAATGCCAGTAATGAGAGGGGAAAATTAAGAGGGAAGGCATGAGGGTTAATCACACGTCGTCTAACGCTCGCTAATGCCTTACAAGGGCAATGTTATAGGCGGATAGAGTCGCGCAAATTGATTAATTAAGTAATTTAAATAAATTTACAGCTTTAAATTTAAATAAAAATTTAATTTAAATAAATTTATTTAAAAAATTTGTTTTTAATAAGTTAAATATTTCAAGTGTTGCCGGTTTCGGCAAAATGTTAAATCAATCGAACCCATTAAAATGAGCCTAAACATGATATAAAAATTAGTGTTCGACAGGCCATTTTCGGTAAAAGAAACAATAGCACCTCTACTAAACTAGTAGCTATTAAAATTCCGAAATATTACCGGTAATGCTAATGCACGAATAAAGAATCTTTTTAAAAAATTCTAGAAGAATGTAGGTTCTACTAAAAATCATGTACATATATCAGACTTCTCTATAAAAAATTGCTTGAATTTTACTAAAATATAAATCAAAATCACAGCTTGGGGGCAAAACACCAACTGAACAAAATACCGTCCTGTAACTAGTGTCAAGAAAATGTGAAAATAAGGAGAAATATTGAAGAACATGCAGCCCGATCGCTAATAACAGCTCCTATAGTAGATAACATTATCAAACAAAATATACATAGAAAACTAAAACTCCGTTGAAACTATATGTAATTACAGTAAATTGTTATAATTTTATAAAATTTATATTTATCAACAGCTCCATCAGCATAGTTCAAAATTAATAAAAATTTCAAGGAATTTTTATAGGGTCAAAAAACAAAGAAAAATCTAAAGATTTTTTTAAATTTATTTAATTTTAATTTTAAATTTAAATTTTTAAAATTTTATAAAGGTCGATAATTAAAAGAGTAGAGAGAATTAAGGAGAGAGAGAGGTCTTCGAAAATGGAAAGTCTAGCAAAATTGATAGTGAAATAATCTATTTTGCTTGAACTTGAATTGTTATTTTGGCCTTGTAATTTGGATTTTATACAAGCTATTTTGGCCTCTAACACTTATCACACTTAGGAAATGTTTAAATAATCGTAAAAATTGCTCAGCTAAAAATGACAATTTTCCGACTTGGAGGGAAATATTTCCATCTTTGGATTCTTAATGAACTTGGAAACTTCACTCACTTGTTAATACATACAACTGCATAATTTTGTTATAAGAATTCTGATAATCCGAATGCCAAATTCATGTAAACTGATATTCCTTCACCTACGGATTGCGTAAATTGCGTGGTTTTTTGACTTACGGATTGCAGCTACGGATTTTAAAATTAAAATTTATATTGGTAATTTTTCGATAAATATCCAGTTATGTCTCTAATTATAAAACACACAAATTTAGTCATTTTCCTGAATTAGTAGTATTACTATTCAAAATTATAATGTAGGATTTAATAATAATACCAGAAAAAGACAGTAAAGATTTTATCATGTTTTCAAACTAAATATAAATTTAGATAATAAATAATTTAAAATTTAAATAATAATGAAATTAAAGAATAAATATTTAGTAGTGTTTCACCGGAACCGAAATTTTGACCGAAACTGAAACCGGAACTGGATCCAATTTCAGTTCCGGATCCCGGAATATGAACCTTAACCAAAAAACGCTGGAACTTTCCGGAACCGGAACTTCCGGTGAAACTCTAATAGATAGACAAAAATTTTTAAATACTTTTTTTAAAAATTAGGGAAATTCTGTTAATAAATTAAATATTAGAGACAGGACACGAGTACTCGATAGAGTTTTCAAAAAATTTTCTTGGCCGTCTCTAATATTTAATTAAAGTATTCCACAGTCAATTAATCAAATCCCAAAAACAGACGGTCAATGACAGTCGATGGTTAAAGAAAAACAGTCGAATAACGGTTGTGAATTACTCTAATATAAATAAAATATGTACAAGCAAAATAAAATTGTGATAAAGATAGTAGCTTGAAAAGATTTTTTGTAAATTCAAGGATATAGGGAATGACCGAATTGAAGTTGAAAAAGAAAAAATTCTATAAATAATTACAATGAACATAGAACTTGGAATTACTAGACTACTTTCAAAAAAAATTTTTTTAATATTTTTTATAAATTCTGAAATGTATAAAATACAATTGTCTCAGGTTATAACAAAAAAAACTTAAATATATACAAGAAACAATTTAAATTTTCAAAATGAAAATTAAATCCGGCTATAACCGGAGACAAATGTAATTGTTCATGCTAAGATAAAGACTGATATACTGTATCGCTCAAGATGGACAAAAAAAATTCTAGAAGAGCCTGTAGGTTTTACTAAAAATTATGTATATCAGACTTCACTATAAAAACATGCTTGAATTTTACTAAAATATGAATCAAAATCACAGCTTGGGGGGAAAAACACCGGGTTGAACCAGATACCGTCCAGTAACTAGTGTCAGGTTGTTAAATTAAAGCAGCTGGGCTATAGCTATTCCTTCCTTTAACTAGTGCAAAAGGTTAATCGGCGGCTGGGAGCGAACCAGCATCTTCAGTAGACCGGCCTGATGTGTTAGCCATTACATCACGCCGCCTACTGCATAGCCTCAGGAATTAAATAGCTATATGCTTTACATTAAGCTGAAATAATTTGTCGCTGAAACTGACAATTATTTCAGGTCGGTATTTTGCTCATTCGGTGTTTTCCACTCATCCACTCAAAAATAATCAACTCAAAAATTTCTTTTCCTCATAATAATAATCAACATATCACTTATTTAAACTCTTGTTAAAGTCCTCGATTGTCGGGAAAGAAGGCCCTAAAAATTTCAACTCAACAATTTAATTTGAAAATATTTTTACCCGATCCTAGGGAAGATGGACTAGATTGATCCGTGGCTATCTGACTTTGGGTTAGATATGATGGGTGGACATGACCTAAAAAATAAATTAAAATAATCTCTAAAAATCATCCAGATGGAGAATAATTCTACGGGGTAATGATGGATAAAATACATAAGTATGGGCTATAACTGATCGCAACTCGAAATGAAAGTCCGATCAATTTCTGATTATCAACATTTCTAAAGCTTTATATTGAGGATTAATTTTCGTATTTAATTAAAAATTAAAAAATATTTTTACCAAATCCCTGGGGAAAATGATGTAATTGCGAATACTGAGTATGAAATGTGCCGAAATTTGGTGGTTGTATTTGATGTGGAAATGATTGTTGATTATAGCCTTTAATTATTTCAAAATTAATTGGAAGCCTACAAGAAGTTTCTCTAAAATAATCCCTGTCTAGCATAGTGATCTGGGGAAATTTTAGAGAAAATTAGGCAATAGTTAAGTGCCTGTTGGCTGACTCAAGAGCATTTGGTTGTGAGGGGTAACTTAGTTGACATAACCTTTAAGCAACAACAGAAATTATTTTTTATTTAATATAATTAACCTGGATTTGGATTATGATATACAGCAGGATTTGAATATAACGACTCATCTATTAATTATTTTTTAATAATTCGATTTATTTTAATATATTTTACCAGAAATGGGGTAATGAGGATTAACAACATGATATGGCGAAAAAGAATGAACCAGACTTCGTTGCAATTGCGAACTATATTATAATAAATAATTAAATATAAATATAAATTTTAGGCTTAACTGTGTAGGTTTTTTTCTATTATTTAGATCGGGAACCTGAAAATTAAAAAAAAAATTAAATAATTTTTATGCTCCCATATTTTTATGCTCCATTTAATATTCTCCCATAAGTAAGTATTAAAAATCCTCAAGTCTTTTGGATTCTTATTGGAATGCTTTTGTGGTATGAATTAGGGATGTCACGGGTTACCCGAAACCCGACCCGATACCCGAACTTTTTCTCAACCCGTGACATCCCTCGTATTAGTAAAACGAATCCTTTACAAAAATTTTTATTCTTCCAACTTTATTTTTTAAAGATGGAAAACAAAAAAAAATAATTTAAAGAAAATTTAAAAGGATTATTATTTTAATTTATATAAATTATATTTAGTATTTAATAATTATACGTAAGCGGTGATATTTGGATTTTCTAAGAGTCCAAATTCATCTAAATAATTTTAATAATTTTTAATAATTTTTTAATAAATATAGGCAAAATTTTAAAGTTTTCAATTAATATTGTAAAGCATATAGCTATTAATTTCCTAAGGCTGAGCAGTAGGCGGCGTGGTGTAATGGCTAACACATCAGTCCGGTCTACTGAAGATGCTGGTTCGCTCCCAGCCGCCGAATAACCTTTTGCACTAGCTAAAGGAGAGAAATAGCTATAGTCCAGCTGCTTTACTATATTAATTTTATATTAGCAAATTTTAGTTTCTTAATTTATTTAAATTTCACTTAGTCGTGGCGGATTTGATTGTTGTGTACTAGGAGGCGAAACCTTAAAAATTTATTTTAAACAATATCAGGTATTTATTTTAGGTATTAGGTATTTGTCTATTTGTGATATAAGGATTTAAGGGATAGTGATTTGGAGGGATCATGAATCGAGCGATTTGAGTGATAACGGAGGATTGAGGGAGGGATTTGGGTCTACTCGGTAAACGAAGTTTCTCTGAGCCTGTATTCTAAAATACCCCCATCTCCGGGTATTTCAAAATTTATTGGATTTACAGACTTTATTTTTCAAACAATTAAATGACTAGTAAATGTTGCCATAAACTTACCAAATGAGGAGAGTTAGAGGAACTTTGTTGATTTCCACTAGAACTAGTAGCTTCAGAAGTTTCAGAATTACTACTCAGATCGTCTTTTAAATTTAAAAATAAATTTAAATATTTTTAATACTATAAAATTTTGAATTATTTTGTGAATTTTATATTTATTAAAAATGTTTTTAATTAATTATCCTTCTTACCCTCCTCGATTTGTTCCCCTTTATTCAATTCTTCTTTCTCATCACTTTCGGAGGTATTCGATTCTGAATTAAATCCTTGTTTAACATCCATCGGAATTTCAGATTTAATATCCCTTGCTTCCGTTTTGAAAGTAACTCCTTCCTTTGCTTGACTTTCTGCATCTACTTTCTTATCACTTTCGGAGATAGACGACTCCGAATTATTTTTTTGTCCAATTTTTTCTTTTGGAATTTTTACTTCAACACTTCCTATGTTTATTGTAGTAAACCCATCTAATTGACTGTCTGTACTGCTTTTCTGGAGAGTATTCTGGCCTTCTAAAGGTTTCCTTTGGGCATCAGTTTCTTCTCCTTCAACTTTTTTTAAAGTTGGATCTGCTACAGCGATTATATTCCCTCTCTCTTAATTTTATATTTACCTAAATTAATTGGAAGTAATAATTACTTGGTGGAGGTTGGCTAGAAGATGGACGTATAGCTTCTAGTTTTTTTCCTTCAGTTGTTTGGGGATTGTTCGAACGGTGCTGTTGAGCATTTTGAATTTTGTCTTGAGAATTCTTTGGATGCATACCCACCTTCTCATATTTTGGTTGTAAAAAATGCGGAAACATTCCTCCTTTTGGAGATTGAAATTGTTGGTGTATTCCTTTTGGATTACCCGATGTTGATGGTGGATTTTGACTTTTTGAATTTTGAGCTGATTTATTTATTAAATTAATAAAAAGAAAAATAATTTACTAGGCATCTGTCCAATTTTAGGAGAAATCATTTTACTTGACTGACCAACTTCAGAAATTTTAGGTGCTTTCGGAGCTTCGGATAATACGGAAGCGTACGTCTTGGGTGGTGTTCCTTTATCTTTTTCTTCTCCAATTACTTCTCCAACTTTTTCCTTCTGCTTTTCATCACCACTTTCTCCCTTTTCAGCTTCAGGATTACCCGGAATTTGTTCAACATTTTTTCCTTTTCCCCTTCTTTTCCTCACTCCTTCAGCATGATTCAAAATTAATAAAAATAAAATAAAAATCCAAAAGAATTTTAAAAGAAGCATGTTAATCAAAGGAAGACTTTCTTAATTTATTTAAATTTTATTTTGAAAAAAATATTTTTATAAAGATTTAAGAAAATTAAAGAAAAATAAAATAAAAATTTTAAGAGTGAATGCCGTTTTGCTCATGTTATATAATATAAAGGAAAGAGTGCGCGTAAGGCCTTATAACACGTAGACTAACGCTCGCCAATGGCATAGATAATAGTATCTTTAATAGCTAGAAAAACTAATAAATTCCCCTATCTTTAATAGTTAGGGGAATTGAGTCTCTTAATAGTTAAGGGATTTGAGAGAGAGAGAAATAATTTGGGATTTGGATTTGAGAGAGAGAGGGATTTGAGAGAAAGAGAAAGAGAGAGAGAGAAATAATTTATTAAAATAATTTTTTGTTTATGTAGAATATGAATATTTTTAGACATTATATTGACTGTAGTAAAGCCGGAGAAGTTCCTAGTTAGTAGATCAGATAAAGCAAAATCTAGCCAATAAATCAACAATAAATACGTTAGTCGGTGGTGGTTTGAAGCTTTAAGAATCAAGTCCTATTCAAACTTTAGCTATTTTCCGAGCTCTTCTGAGCTGATTTTTAATCATATAGGATGGAAGGTGCATTAAAAAAATAAAAAATTCTTATCAGAGTTGGTCAGAATTTTGTGAAGGCATATCATTGAAGTAATTTATGTTTTTCCAGAATTTAAAAAATTTTTTTTCTCTCTCTCTCTCTCTCTCACTCTCACACTCTCTCGTTTAATTTTTAAATCACGCGTATTTGCATTTATTCACGTGAATTGAGAAAGTGATTTTGCAATGTTGCACTCTTAACAGAGTGCATTTATATGTTTTTATTACATAATGTCTGATAGGTTGTTAGGGGATTTCAACACTAGCAAAGATTTAATCTCTCAAAGAAAATACCGGCAGGCATTAAAACTTGAAATGAAAGTTTTTCTACATAAAGTCTGTTAGAGAATAAGTATGTTTAATTATGGCAATTACTTAGAGTTCAAACAAAAGTTCCAACTGAGATAATAACAAGATGACAGATTCTTATTGGAATAAAATACAAAATACATAACCACAAAGTCGTATTGAAGAATTATTTCTTTCCATAATTTAAAAAATATTTCATTACAAAATTATCCTTTGGTATTGGCCTGCCTTAACATGATGTCCTATATTTACTTCTCAAATAGCTAAATTACCTATTGAAATCCAAGGAATACCGTTATAAATTTAATAAGTCTAATTTTTGCTTGTACAGTAACCAAATTAAATATTAATTGGGGATGTTTTTTGTTATTTTTTAATAATTTTGAAATTCTAAACACTATCGCTGTTTTCTTTATGGAGAAAACATTCTCTCTCTCTATCTCTATCTTTTCTCTCTCTCTCCCTCGCCCTTCTTATGATTATCTTTTTTCTCTCCCTCTCTCTTGCCCTCGCCCTTCTCATGACTCTCAGTCTTGCGATTTTTAAATTTTAAATCTCGAGTGATTGATTTTGTTTATTCACGTGAATTAAAAATTGATTTCTCAATATTATGGCCGTCAATAATAAATATTTCTAAATTTTTGTTTATTTAAAAATTTATTTGTTAATGTTGCACTTTCAACAAAGTGCATTTACCCATATGTTTTTATTACATAATGCCTGATAGGTAGATTTGGGGATTCTTTAATATGTACTTCAAAAGATTATGCCGGCAGGTATTAGAATTTTGTAAATAAAAAATTTTCTACATAAAGTCTGTTAGAGAATATGTTGAATTTTATTAATTTTTTTATTTTACAAATAATTAAAAATATATCTTTTTAAATTTCCGTGAAGCGAATTTCAACACTAATGAAGACTTTCTGTAATCCTTGAAAGATTATGCCGGCAGCCATTAAAATTTCAAAATAAAAATTTTTGTACATAACGCCTGTTAGAGTTATACTAACAATTAAAAATATATCTCTGAAGCTAAGTTGCGTTCTAGAACTTAATTTACAAGAAGAGTTTTTCAACAAATGGATGACAGATTTTATAATGTTTATCCCAGAAAAGAAATTTCATATTTGTATTAAAAATGAGAAAAAATAAAAAAAAATATTTAGGTAATTTGACACAAAAGCAAAATTTAAATATAAATCTAGAGCTTTCTATTTTAATTAATAAAAAATAGTAAAGCTAGGCTGGGCTAACTATAGCTATTTCTTATTCAGCTTTTCTCCTTCAGCTGGTGCATAAGGTTATTCGCCGGCTGATTTATTATCGAAATTAAATAGGTATACTTATTAAAGTTGAAACCCGGAACGGATTCGGTCCGGATATTGCGGATCCGGTAGTCCGGAATCGGGTATTTTGATGAAACCTGGATTTTCCGGATTTCGATATGGAGAATCCAATCGGCATTTTCAGAACTTTCAACTCTAATACATATTTATGCTTTACAAAATAAAAAATTTAGAATAATAATTTATTTTTGTCTACTACATATAATTCTTCGTCATTTTCTTCAATTGAAGATTGAAGCTTCAACAATACTTTTGTGATTTTTGTCTAAACCTTCTTTTTATCCAAAAAGGCAAAATTATGTTTAAAGTACGAAAAATCGGCTGTAATTTTGAAAAATAAAAATTTATTGTTAAATTGACTTTTAAGGGTTATAAAGAAGGGTGTGTTTCGACCTAAACTTATCTGAGTCGTTTTAAGACTTTGTTTGTTTGATAACTAGGGTTGGGGTTTTCGAGTCGGGTCGACGTTCGAGTCATTTTTTCTGGCCTCATTTTTATTGGGCAAACCCGACCGAGTCTTTTTCGGGCCAAAATTTGATGCCCAATTCGATCTTTCGGGCCGGATCGGGCCCCCAACCCTACTGGTAACCCGTTATTTTTAGTATTTTAATTTAAAATTAATTTTTAAAAAATTTTACGATTATACTCTGCCAAACCACGGTATGAATCTTCTAATTGTTTAGAAATAGGGGACGCCAAATTCTTTTTTGGCGCTTCAATTAATTTTTTACGATTATCGCCTATAATCCCAACATCTTTTTTCTGTGCATTTGTTGCTGGATGTGTTAATATAACATCATCTATTCTGTGTTCATCGTCAAATGGATTCTGAACAGTTTCGATTTTTTCCATACTAAAATAATAATTTTTTAGATTAACTTGAGGAGAATAATTTTGAATTTTATTACTGAATATTTTTATTTTATTAAATAAAATTGTTTGAAAAATTGGAATTAAAGTCTAGTCCATCTTGGATAGCTTCTAATTCCTTATATTTTATATTTTTATAATTTTTTCTACAAATTAAGGAAGAGGGACTAGCTAGCATACTTACTAGGCGAGAGTTTAAGATACCGTATTTCCCTAAAATAGCCCCATGGGGTTATTTTTTCGATCGACCTCTAGAAGGGGGTTATTTTAGAGGGTGGGGCTATTTTAGAGAAAATATGTGATGTGAAATCAGCTCCCCGGTATCTCAGTCGGAAGAGCATCATTAAGGGGGGATTGAAGGCGCCTAGCATTAATTGAGAGGATTTCGGAGGATTGATTCCCTGGAGCAAACATTCCTGCTTCTTTAGCTTGTGTTTTCCATCAAATTATATTTTTTTATCAAGCATTTCCACCGAAAAAAAAGTAACTGAAAAACTTACTTTTCTACGTTTGACAAATCTTGTCTAGGGTGAAATACACCTGTACCTCCAGTTCCTTTAGCTTGGATTACTAATTGTGTTAAATACTTCTTCATTGGATGAGGTAAAATATCTTTAATTACCCAAATAAATTTTTTTTAAGTTTTTTAAATAAAACTAACGATTATTAACGCTTGTTTGTTTGTTTTGATTATTATTAACAGTTTCTACTTTTCGATAAAAATAAAAATTTAATAAAAAAATAAGGGAAAATTTTAATAATTTTAAATTGGAAATAAAATGCATAATAAATAATTTAAAAAAAAATTTTTTTTTCTCTTCTATAATTTTTAAATTTATTTTAAAAAATAAAAAATTAGGACTAAAATAAAAATAGGTAGTTTAAAAAAACGACACGAAAGGGAGATGACGAGAGGAGGTAAAAAGGCCAACCTGGGCGGCATTTATTAAAGTAAAAAAATATTTTTTTAATTTATTAATAGATTGAATAAATGGATTTTACTCGAATAATCATAACACATTTTAATTTAAAAATAAAAACAAAAGTGCAAATGAGCGTTTGTCGGCAAATTTATTTAAAAAAATATTTTTTAAAGGATTTTTTCAACGAAAAATAACAAATTTTTTAATCAAAAAATTCCTTACTGTAAAAACACTTCTATCAAATTTCTGCCCCAGGAAAAATATAATAGTTGAAACTAAGCATTATGTAGATAATGGAATTGTCTGTTAACAGATCCCAAATTGTTATTGCTATGCCAAAACATAACTTTGCTATTTTGTTATACAGAAAGTATGTATGTAGTTAAAATGGTTAAAATTTTATGGTGCCATAGGCCGGATGATGATGGTTCTGTGATGGTTTCTATTCCATCTCTCATCCAACGAATTTTTTTCCTTAAGAACCATAATACTATTATGCTTTCAGATAGTACTTTAGATTTTTCTTTCTTGTATATTATGCAAATTTTTAAATCTTATTTTCGGTAAAAATGAAGGTTCAAAATTGTCAAGTGTTCAATAATGCAAGGTTCATAGCTTTTAACTTTCTCTAGATATAAAAGATAAAGTAAAGCTTAACTTGGGGTATTTCTTTTGGGGTATTTTTATGTAAAAGATTATCCAGCGGCTTGGAGGAACTAGCATCTTCAATTAACTGGACTTCTGAGTTATCCATTACAACACGCTGTATCCCCTACATAGATTTAGAATTAAATAGCTATATGCTTTACAATGAAAAATTTTTTTCTAATTTTAAATCATCATAGTTTCAAATTTTCGATTCTAGTAAAAATGTGAAATACAAATTTAAATGAAGAAAAATAAAAGGATAGATCGCACAAAAGAATAATAAAAAATAGGGAAAAATCTTTGTCTATAAAATAGATTTTCTTTGTTTTTTTTCATGTTCAATGATCAATTTCTGTCCAGTGTTCTATTGCTCATTTTTATCTTTTTTAAAAAGATCACGAGAAAACAATGTAAAATCAGCTGAAATTGAAGAAATATGTATTATAAAAAATTAATTTACATAGACAGATGATTAATGTAAAACAATTCTGTAATTTTGGGTTATAATCCACTAATAAACGAAAACTCCCCCCCCCCTCCCAACTTTTCTCTCCAATTCATTGATATATCTCCAAGTAATGGAAATTCTGTTGTGTGTATATGAATCTTGTGAACTTTTATTGTCATGTCAGAAATATTTAACGAGCCAAAATGCCTAATAACCGTGTATATACACTGGGGTTTCGAAAAATTTTTCCGAGGATATGGGATTTGGTATATCCGGTTGGATTATCTCGGTCAATTTTTATTTTCATGAAAAATGCAGAAACATGTCAACTGAGATACAAATAGAGCTTTCGATTACTTTATAAAAAATATTTTTTGAATGAAAAATTAAAATTTAAAAATAATTTTTTTAGTGTAGATAAACTTATGCTCCCCAGTGTATTTAGGTATTAGAGATTGAATTATTCATAAATTACATATCTAAAAAAATTAGACTAGGAATCTCGAATACACCAAAGATTTCAAGTCTTTCCAAACTCTAATTAGACTATAAAGTTTTTTTAATACTTCCTTACTTTCTGTATTTTTCATGCTTAGAAGATATTCATTGTTTTGATTCCCAGAATTCCCTCCTTCAGAATTCCCTCCTTCAAAAAATTTATGAAAATCATAAGGATTGTTTAAAGGAGAATAAAAATGTTCCTTGTTTTCAGAAGTTGCTTCTCTAAATATTTATAATTAAAAAATTAAAATTAAAAAATATGTAGGTTACTCTTGAATATCTTCATGTTGAGAGATATTTGACAAATGAGGATTTAAATTTGGTCTAGAACTACCAATAGGTTTTTGTTTTCCTTTTCCAATATCCTTTGATTTAAAAAATAAATTTTTTATTAAGATTTTAAAAAATTGGAAAATTGGCCTATTCTTAAAAGAAAATAATAGTGACCGGTAAACTCGATTTTGAAGGAACTCGATCTGGATTCCGGATTTGCAACTAGAGCCTGACCGGATCCGCCCGGATTTTTCCGGATTAATCCGGTTCGGAAAAATCTGGAGATCGAAAAAAACCCGGATTTGGGGCCCGGACTCCGGAAAAATTTAGCCGGATCCGGTCCAGCACCGGTCACTAGAAAATAAAACAAAAAAATTTTTTTAAATATCCCGAAACAAAATTTATAAAAAATATCGTTCTTGCAACTCAAAAATATTTTTCGAACCCTTTTTTCACGATGACAAAAACCGTTACATGGGTATTAAAATATTTTTCAAATAATTTTTTACTTTATTTATTTTATCCTTTTCACTTCTCAAAGGTGGAAACGATTGTTCATCTAACTTGAATGGAGTACCATCCACTACAACTTCATTATAAGGTTTTTCTTTAACGTTGGTTGTATTTTTCGTGTGTTTTGATGGATTATTCATTTGTTTTGAATAATTTAAAAGTAAAATAAATAAAATAAAAATTCCGTTGAATTTTTTTAGTAACATAATTTCGGAAATTATAGAAGAATAATCCTAAAATTTTAATAATTAAGCGGAATCAGGATAGCCGTAGTGATGTTAGCCTAGTTGGAAATGTCCAGCTTGCCGTCCTCAAGTCCACAATTTTTTGCTGCCTTCAGCTGTTGCCTCTCTTTCCCTTAATTTCCCTCAAGTTATCAAATGATTGTGTGAGGATTTCTGTTGAAGCAGAAAGAGTATACAGTCAGCACAAAGTAGTTTATTCGAAAGCCCTTGAAATTTGCTACAAAATAAATAAGTCTTGTTTTCCAGAAAAAATTTAATAGCGAGAGGGATAAAGGGAGAGGAATAATACATAGGAGAGGATAAGGAGAGATAATTAAGGGATAACCTAAGGGAAATTAAGGGAGAGTGGGAGAAAGGAGTTGAATGGAGTAAAAACATGCTTTGTTTCAGAATACCTTTTGCGGATGTGGGGACAGCGAGCTGAATATTAACCGAATAACGGAAATTTAAAAAAAAATTAAAAATATGAATTCTCAACCCAATTTTGTTATTTTAAAGGAAACTAATATAAAAACAAAATAAATTACATAATAAGAATTTTGAGAGAGTTTAAAAATTGGCTTTAAAACACTGGATTTTATGTCTATTATTATGTAAATAAAAAAAATATGTCGAAATTTAGTTAAAAGAATTATAGAGAGAGTTAATTTTAGAGGATTTAATTATGAAATTGAGAGCGTGAGAGAAATAGAAAGAGAGATAGAGAGAGAAATAGAGATTCAGAGAAATAGAGAGAGAGAGAGAAATCTATAAAATTGATCTGACACGTAACCCTTTTAAAGCTAATTTTAAAATATTACACTTAAAGTGGAGAGTAATAAATAGGGGTGGACTCCGTCACCGGAAGTCTAGGAATTTTGAGATTTTTCCCTTTAACATCCTCTTGGCCTTCCAAAAATCTCAAAATTTTCCCTGCGCCGCAAAAATTCGAAATTTTTACTTAGAAATTTTGATTAAAAACTAGAATTTTCGGCGCCGTTCATTTTTCATTACCCACAAAAAGGGGCCATTCAATTGGAGAGGACATTCTATTAGAGTAAATACGGTAAATAAAATTCAAACTAAATTACAGTATTTTCTCTAAAATAGCTATTTTGGAGGAGGCTATTTTTTCGATCGACTCCTAGAATAGAAGGGGGCTATTTTGGAGAGGGGGACTATTTTAGAGAAAATACGGTACTTCTTTTTAGGAAAGAAATTTTCATTTTGCAAGAAATCGAACTGCCTATGACTCCCTTTGTTGGTCTACGATTTTGTTCTGGGCAGTAGAATTTTGGAGAAGATTTAGATAGTCGACCATTTGTTTACGATATTAAAAAATATGAAGCGTTTGGAGATTTTTATCGTCTACAAGACTGGCAGAGATCTTAAATGTGGAGATAGACTTTTGTGTTAGGAAATTATTTTGTTAGGATTTTAAATTGAAAATTATGGCTATTACCTATTTATTTTTCAGTTTTACTTTAATTGTTCAGACCTTTTAACTAAATAAAAAATCCTCGACCAAAATTTTTTATCTCCATAAAAAAGTTTAGAATAATAATAAATTTATACATAGTATAAATAATGATAAGAAATAGGGTTGCCGTTTTCAGTTCGAGCCGACGTTCGGTGCTTATTTTTCGAACTTGGTTTTTTTCGATTCGGTTCGTTTTCGAGCTGAAAAGCCCCGGCTCGCTCGATCTTTCGAGTTTCGGGTCGAGCGAGCTGGCAACCCTACTAAGAAAACAGAAAAAGTTTTACTTAAATAATCAGAGAAATTTTTTTACAATTTACCTTTGACAAGAATAAAATAAAATTCATCAAAAACCAAAATTCTTAACGGGAGGGTGTAAAAATTCCATTTTTTAGTGTAAATTACTAAAGAATTCTCAAAAATACGTTAAATACTACAGTCAAACTTCTTTAATATATCCCTCGGCACCAAATTAAGCTGACATTGAGGAGGTGCCATTGGAGAGGTCGACTGTAATAGACAAAATAATTGACCCACAAAATAATAAAAGAATTTTTTTAAAAAACTGATGAAAGTTTCCCCCTAAAAATAAAAAAACGTTACGGATAAAAAGTCTTGAATGATTTTTTCTCTTTACATGAATTTCTCAACACAAACAATCGCAGTTTTTCTGTTCAGTCCCAATCAAAGAGCTTGTCTGGTAAAGAGGGATATACACCTGAAAATTTAAAATAATTTTGAAAATTTATATTCTTTATGTCCAAAAATTAGACACATATGGATTTTCGAAACATTCTAGACGAGTTGATTGAGGTTTGTAACGCAATGTTTACCTAGATTAAAACTCGGAAACCGGGAGATTTTTTAAATTAAGTTTATGTTTTTTTTTCAATTTACCATTTTCATTCCCTCCTTTTGCTTTGGCGTGTCCGCGACTTGGTCCTTCTACTTTTGGTAAAGTACTTGGTTTAGTAAAAGTTCGTGGCAGGAAAACACCGGTTCCAACTCGTTCAGTTGGGCTTAAAAAATCAAAATTAATCCTTATAAACTTGGGTAATAGTTATGTTTATGAGCCTTTTTTCCTTCAGCAGAAAACTTCCTTACCAATTTCACTCTATTTTCCTTTAGAATACAATCAGGTCATAAAAGATTAAAATTTGGAGTATAAAATATAAAAAATCAGAGGTAACTGTCACATTTTAATAAATATAGAGGCAGCTGAACAATTTCAAATCTTTCTATTTAAATGAAAAATTATGGTCGAATGACAAAGTTTTGATACACTTAAGAATTTATTTAATACTTTGATATTTATATAATGTAAAGCATATAGTTATTTATTTCCTAATACTGTGCAGTATGCGGTGTGGTGTAATGGCTAACACATCAGTCCGGTCTACTGAAGATGCTGGTTCACTCCCAGCCGCCGAATAACCTTTTGCACTAGCTAAAGGAGAGAAATAGCTATAGCCTGGCTGCTTTACTATAAGTTAAAATAGAGGGTAATGTGAGGAGACTAAACCAGAAAATTGGAAAGAAGGAAACATTGAACCCATAAACATGAATATTACATCAAAACTTGTTTATTAATTATTAATCTTACTGTTGTTGATAAGGTGGTTGGTGTTGCATGTATGTAAATTGTGGGTGTAATTGATATGGATGAAACTGTGGTTGTATTGCAGGTGACATGTGGGGATTTCCTTGATATGATCCCTTACTTCCATGACCTTTTTTAATAGATTTAAAATACATAGGTATGTATGTAGGTAAAAATGTGGTAACGGAATTTTATAAAAATAATTTGTGAATTTAGATTTCTAGGATTATTTCTTATTAGGGTTGCCAGCTCGCTCGACCCGAAACTCGAAGCTCGAAAAACTCGAAAACGAACCGAATTGAAAAAACTAAGCTCGAAAATATGCACGGAACGTCGGCTCGAACCGAAAACGGCAACCCTATTTCGTGTGGGAAAAATTAATTTATATACATATAATAAATTCAATATAATTACCTCCTAAATCGTTAAACTTTTAAATTAATCATTTAATTATTTATTCATTAAATTAACTTTAATTCTGATAAATTAAATTTTATTTATAAAACATCGTTTCCTAGGCACCATTTTTTTTTAAATTTTCAAATCATAAATTTTGGATTTCCTGAATATATGTACCTGAAAGTGGTGCTCCTTCATTTTCTATAAAATTTAGAAGAAATAAAAATAAAACAAAAGTTTTAAGGAATTTTTGGTTGTTCATTTTTAATTTTTCCTCTTAAGATAATTTAAAAAATTTTAATTTGAGCGAGAGAAATTGAAAAAACAAAAAATTTATTCTCCCCTAATTTTCAGTTTTAATTTTTGAATTAATTTTAAATTTTATAATTCAAAAATCTAAATTTCTAGTATAATACTCCCCCAATTCCATAATATTGTTTTTGTAGGATTTAAATATATTGCAGGTTTTGAGTGATTTAATTATAAAAGAGTTTAGCAAAAGTTTACCCATCGGGCAGGATTCAAACCTGCGACCTCCTGACAGTTATTGCTAGGCGCTTTCGCTCACAACATACAGGAGCTCTACCACTGAGCTACCGGGGCATCGGCTAATGCTCTTTATTCCCTTTTTAGATCGTTTAACCCCCCTAAGCGTTTTAAATGCTACTAGGTGAATCCAACCGCATTTTTTTATTTTATCTCCCCGAAAATAACTTTTTTTCAATTTAAGAATATTTTAAATAAATAAAAATTATTTTTAATTAAAAAAAATTAACTGAGAAATTATTTAAGTGAAGGCGAGAAGGGCATTTTATTTTATAAAGAATTAAGGATTATGAGGAGAGGAGAAGGGAGGGAGGGATGGAGTGAGGGATGGGGGGGGGGGGGGGTATATGTAGGTAATTGTGTGGAGAGGAGGGAGGGAGGGAGGAGTGATGAGGGGAGAAGGGAGGGAAGGATGGAGAAAGGGATGGGGGGGGATATAGGTAATTGAGTGGAGGGGAGAGAGGGGGGAGTGATAGGGGGATAGATAGATGGTGTCGATAAGTGCACTTTAAAGACGCATCACGCTAACGCTTTATTAACTCTCACCTTGCGTTATGCGACAGAAAATAGCGTTAAAATAAGAGTGAAGAATCACGCGCGACGTATCTATCCTCTCTCCACTATCTTGGGGAAGACGCTCGCGATTTTGCTCGCGATTTTTTCTATTATTGATTTTAATTAAGAAAATTGAATATTTTTAACTTAAATAATTTAATAAAAATTAATTTAAATAATAATTTAAAAAATAAATAATGTTTTGTTTGTTAAGAAATAAATGTAGTTCACGAACATTTTTATATAATTTTCAAATTTCTAATAAGAAAACCATTTTTTTCAAAATGGAGTTAAAATTTTTAACATCCATTTTTGAGAAAAAAACTTGATAAAAATAGACTTGGTGAAATATTTTTTAAGATTTGTATCAGAGGTGGGTCGGAATTACGATTTCTGAAAAAAAATTTTGATTTCCGATTTCCAATTTCCGACTTCTGAGCCAGTTCCAATTTCCAATCTTCCGATTTCCGACATCTCTGACTGCTCCGACCCACCTCTGATCTGTATGTAGATATAATATCACATAGTGTTATAGATCACCTATAAAAAGTTCAGTTTAATTGGACAACCGAAGAAAATTTCTTAACACACTGTATAAATTAATTAAAGGATCCCTGTCATAATAAACAAAATACTTCAATGTTTATTTTTATAACAAAAATATCCAAAAAATTTAACTTGTTAAAATAATTTAAAATTTTATATGTTAATCTAAACTAATTAAATCAATCATTTTGAATTTTTAACATCCATTAATATCACAAATGGCTCCAGTTTGAAATAAGGGCACAATCACTTGTTTATGGTTGATTAACAAAAAATAATTGTCGACTAATAAAGTAACAAATCTGTTTTATTAACTAAAAGTAAGCAAAAGTTATCACCTATTTATCAATACGCTTTCCAAACGTTCAGTTTCTCTACCGAACGAGATACCGGGGGTACTTTAACTTTACTTTCCCTCTTAAGAATCTTAAACCCCCGCTAACAAAGGAGAGTGCCTGGGATGTCCGCGGGACTTCGGAACAGGTCCACGATACCATTTAGCGGAAATCGTGGAAATTTCACAACTAAAGTAGGGTATAATCTACATGTCTACCAGATTTCATCCCGAAGTCCCGCGGACACCCCCAGGCACTCTCCTTTGTAAGGCACTCTCCTCTCCTTAATTGAGAATGAAAACGAATTCCAGAGAGAGAATATTAACCGATTAAACCTACAAAAGGTTTCAAAATAAATTTCTTTAAAGTGAAGTTATCCCTTATTTCAAACTAGTGCCTTTTCTTCTGCAATTTCCCCAATTTAATTAACATTTCCATTGTTGCTCCAAATATTACTTCCTAAAAAATAAAATTTTTAATTCAGAAAGTAACCCCTTTAATCACCAATATTTCGATGAAAAGTTGAGGTTTCCGGTTGATAAGGGTTAAAATGAGGGTTGTTGAATATATTTTGGTATTTTATGGGAATATATTCTTTAGCATAAGGATTTAATCGAGAAGTAAAACGAATTCCAGAATGTGCTCTTAATTGAGGATAATTTGGTTGATAAATTGAAGGAAGTTGATGGACGTTGTGGAATGAAGGATTTGTGTGGTGGTTGGACATTAATGGAGCCGGAGCTAGAGTTGGAAATGTTGCGAGGTGATGGTTGGTCATTAATGAACCCGGAGCTGGAATTGGAATGATGTTGGATTGGTGATAAATACGTTGAGAATGGTTATGTTGATTAATTGAAGAGTATAATTCAGGATTGGGAAGGAAAGCACCAGTGCCAGAAGTATTTTGCGCTAAAGGATTTTGATGTTGGTTGGGCATTAATGGAGCTGGAATCGGAATTGTTGTAGTTTGGTGATTAATACGTTGAGAATTGTTTTGGCGATTAAATGAACGATCGCGAAGGAAAACTCCGGTGCCAGAAATATTTTGCGTTAAAGGGTTTTGGTTGAAGTTTGTTGGATGATGGATAAAGAAAGGCGGTGGAGGTTGAAGATGGTGAATTTGAGGGTTTATTGTTTGATTATTTTGTCTTGAATGGTTTCGATGATTTCTAATGCGTCTGCGACGCATTGACATGCCATTACGAGAATTATTTTGCTAAAATTTGATAAAAAATTAAATAGTTTATTTGACTTTTAGTTTGTTAATGAGGTTTAAATTGAACAATATTTTCTTCAATTAAAGCTTGCCGCTTTATTATTCAATCCCCAGATTTTGCCAGAAATGCATATTAGCAATAATTAGTTTGTTACTCTGTACGGAACCGAGCACCCGTTGAATCACGGGTGCTCGGTTCCATGGAGATGGAATTCCATGAAGATGGGAGATGGAATTGAACCAGCACGGAATGAGCTCAGACCGAAGCACAACCGACTGTGCCACCATCCAACTCAATTATGTGTTATTTATTTTCATTTATATTCTTTCTGCAAGTACGGACACAACAGTAAATGTTAAAAATATACCGTTTGAGGAACAGATGAAGACGTTCCTTGATTAACCCTCAAATAAAAAAAATTTTAGAATTAAAGAAATTTTGAAAATAACTGTGTATTGGATTCGTTGTTTGTTACTTGACGTTGAGGAAGAGTAAAAGGGCTAGCATCAGGATTAAGACCTTTGGCTTCGACTGAAGATTTTGTTTCAACGACTGGAGGAAAAGTAATAAATTCTGTTAAGTTTTTGAAAGATTAGGTAATATTTACAGGTCAATTTCTTCACTTTTTATTAACAAAAAATATTAGTTTACTGAAATAATAAACCACAGTAGCTAGTAGATTAACCCTTATTTCAGTAAAGCAGCTGGGCTATGGCTATTTCTCTCCTTTAGCTAGTGCAAAAGGTTCATCGGCGGCTGGGAGCGAACCAGCATCTTCAGTAGACCGGACTGATGTGTTAGCCATTACACCATGCCGCCTACTGCGCAGCCTTATGAAATTATTAGCTATATGCTTTAAATTTCGTTTTTTATGTACAATATCCCCCCTAGCTTTCTTTAAAATTACTTGTAATAACTCATTCAATTAAAAAATATATTTAAATATTTCCCCACTTACTAAATCCCCAAAAAAAAATTTTTTTTTAATTTCAATATACCCTTTTCTTCTTTGTTTTTCTTATTTTTCCCTTTTTTGCTTTTTTTGCTATTACTTCCCTCCTCTTTAAAAGGAAGTTTTTTATAAATTTTAAACTCTTTTTCAACCATTTCTTTATTTATTTCATTTTCTTTTTCATTATCATCAACCCCTTCAGTATTTTGAATGAAAATTAATTTTAATAAAATTAAAATAAATAATATTCCATTTAATTTTAAAAGGAACATGGAAATTTATTTAAAGGATTTTTTAATAGAAAAAATAATATTTTCCTAGAAAATAAAATTTAATTTTAATAATTTTTTTAGTTTATTTTAATTTTAATTGTCAAGCATTATCTACCGTATTTACTCGATTAGTTTCTTTGGGGAATTATTTTTTTAACCCTGCCTTGGCATGGGGAATTATTCGAGGGAGGGGAATTACCGTATTTTCTCTAGTAATCCCCCAGGGGGATTATTGTTTCAACCCATTTCTAGAGTGGGGAATTAATAGAGACTGGGGAATTAATAGAGAGGGGTAGAAAGAAGGGGGATTATTTTTCAACCCATCTCTAGAGTGGGGAATTAATAGAGACTGGGGAATTAATAAAGGACTGGGGGATTATTAGAGTAAATACGGTATTCGGGTTTTGAAATTTGAATGTGTAGTAGGGTATTTGGGGGAGGGGGATTATCGTTTCATCCCAACTCTAGCATGAGGGATTAATCGAGAGGGGGAATTATTCGAGTAAGTACGGCAATGTAATTTAATATTAAAAAAAAATACCGTAAATACTCTAATTGACGCCCTGTGCTTATATTTTTCAATGGGCTCTCTTGGGATGGGCTTATATTTATTAGAGGTGAGCTTCTACAAGAGGAGGACTTCTATTAGAGTATTTACGGTAAATATTAAATTTTGTCATCTCTTTCTAAATATTTTTTTTTCATTATTAAAATTTAATTTTGTAAGAAAAAAGTTATATTAATCTCTAATTAATTTCCTTTGCCCTATTTTTATTACATCTTTATAAAAATAATTTTATTTTTAAATTATGAAATGTATAATTTTAAAAGATTTAAAAAAAATTTTTTATTTTTAAATAAAAGTGCAACATTTTTCGGCATTTCGTTTGAATAAAAGGGCATACATGTCCTCAGACACGTCCCCAGACTAGACTCGCAATATTTTCTTAAAGTGCATAAGGAGGGCACATGTCTGCACTTTTAAGTGCGACAAACAAATTTTATTTAGAAATATTTTTAAAAATAAATTAAGTCTAAAATGGGATTTCCAGGCCCCACATGAGAGAGTAATTTTTTAAATAATTTATGGGAGTAGTTCTCGTAGTTAATCTTAGTTAATTAACATTTAAATTTTCCCAATTTTCTACTAAACCAGCAAGCGTAGGAGTGTCATTTTTCTCGTTTTACGTTTCATGCAAAAACGTTTCATTTAATTTTCATTGGCAATAAATCTCCCAACTCTTAACAAAAAAACATAAAAGGACAGAACTAGACAATTCACAAGAATATTTCCCCCTTATAATTTTACTTTTAATTAAATAACAAAACATAATCTAATAAAAATACATATCAATTATTAAATATTTAAAACTAATTTTAAAAAAATAAAATCACAAACATATTTAATGAAACATAAATTAGGAATATATTTCATATGTCCAATAAACTACAATAGTTGGATAAATAACACAAAAATAGAGAGAAATAATTTTTAATTTTTTTATAATTAAATAACAAATTTGTCAATCATTTTCTTCACACCCATCATTTTTTTAATTTTAAAAAAAAATTAACCAGAAGTTGAAACAGACAATTTCCGCAAATGTTCCATAAATACTTGCATTGAAACATCGTCTGTAAAGACTGGAGCACCGCCCTCCTTTAATAAATAAAAAAATTTTTTTGAAAAATGAGAATAAATTTTAATAAAACCTGTGAGTATGGATTATTATGCGTCAGTGATGGATTGACTTTGGAGAGAAGGAATCGTGCCTAAAAAATTTTTTTTGAATTTATTTTTAAAAAAAAAATAAAATTTATAAAGTCAGATCTTTGGTCTGGAGTCAGAGAAATTAAAGGAGTCAGAGAAATTAAGGGAGCTTAAAAAAGTCGGCTTTACTCCAGTTTATGAGTCCAATCAAAAAATAATTAGATTTTTCTTGGTGTTGAAAAGTTGGGGTAGGGCTCCAAAATATTTCTTCATGTTCGAGACCTACGCCCAGTGGATAGGTTGATTAAACTCTAAAGTAGAGACCGGACTTGAATGATCGTTCGATAATATCGATAATATCGACATCGATATATCGTATCGATCCGGTCTCTACTCTAAAGTTCGATTGGACTCATAAACTGGAGTAGAGACGAAAAATCTGGACCTTGACTCTAAATCCAAGAAAAATCAAAGTTTGTATTCAAATCCAGACCAATCTCTCTCTCAAAAAAATATCAAATTCAATAATTTTTTACCTGGGAACCCTCATATTCAGTTACAATGTAACGCGGCACAGGAAAACGATCCTGTAAAATACTAGAAGCATCTTGAACAGGCGCCTCTAATAATTGTTTAAATGAAGCATATTGTGGATCATTTTGATAATTTGCCTTTCTCCAAGCAGCTATTGTCTAAAAAAATTTTCTTTTAAATTTAAAATAATTTTAAAATACTTGTCCATGATAAATTAAAACATGAAAGAAATCGTCCATTAAAAGAATTCTGTCAGGTTGTATACTTGAAGTATCAAGTAAAACGGCTTCTGGTGGACCATTAAATGAGTAAGAGAAAAGTTGTGGTTGAATCATTGTTGTGCTTTCAAAAACGTTCTCTTCAAAGAGAATGTGCCTTCAAATAAATTTATTTAGAAAAGAATCCTTAGCACTGATCTAGTTTATGCGTCCATTGAACTTTTATGCGTCCAATCGACAAAAAATTGAATTTTTCTTCATGTTGCAAAATTGGTGTATGGTTCCAAAACATTTCTTCATGTTCAGGACCTACGCCTATTGCGTCTTGGTGTGTGTGTGTGTTCGCCTATTGTGTTCTCTATTCCTCGAAATTTCTGAGTGTTAGGGCCAATTTTTAAAAGTTTCAGAAGAACGATTTTAAATTTCAGAAATTTCGAAGGATATGGTAAGGAATGCCCCAGACCCAGTGGGGTAGGTCACGAACATGAGGAAATGTTTGGAACCATGCCCCAACTTTGCAAAATCAAGAATTTTTTAAGAAAAAATACCTATAATAAACAGTTTCATCCGGAGAATTATTAAAAACTTGTAAAAATTGAGAGCGACGCAAGTGAAACATAAATTGTGGAAAAAGAGAAAATTTGTCTGAAAGACGTAAAGAAGCTGGATCATCTTTGTGGTAATCACCAAATTTTTGGACCTAAAAAAGGTTAAAATATTTAAGGAAGAAGACCAACAAAAAAACTAACCAAACGTATCAAGCTTCTATCTAACCAACGCAAAGCATCTGGAGAATCATTTTCATTAGCAGCTCTCCAAGATGCAAGTCTTCCCATTAAAACAGCAGCAGCTTCTTGATCAAAACTATAACTTATTGACTGTTTATTTGCTTCCATATCCGACCAAGAACGGCAAGTTGTTGTAACACGAATACGTCGTCGTCCATCAGCATGTTGATATTGAGTAATGAATTGAAACATTGCACGAGCACCTTGAGGGATTGCTGTGCCATGCTAGAATAAGGAAAAACTTTTTTAAAACTAGACAATTGATTTTTGCATATTTTTCCGAAATCAGAGCTTCAGTGAAATTTTGATTTTAAGAGATTGTTTTTGTCTAGACTCGAAAATCTTTATAAAACAATTTTTTGATTTTAAATCTGTTTTCCAAAACTCCTTTAAAAAATTTTCATTTTTGAATTTTTATTTCTATAAAGTCCGTCTTCAAAAAGAAAAACCCAATCCTAGCAAAAAAAATTTTTAAAAAACCTGTCCAGCAATCTCAA